TCATGTGGGGGTATCTGGAGAAGTAAAACTACCAGTACCACTGGTACAAGAAAAACCTCCATTGACAGAGGAAGAGCTGAAATTAGAAAGAGCAGATAGAATTTATTTTATCTTAAAAACCTTAGAAAAAATAAATTCATAAAGCCAAGTTAAAGTAAATTATTGCAGCCCGAATATACTTCTGGTTAGCAATTTCAATAAGAAAATTGACAAACAAGACTTGGCCATAGTCCAGAATTGGCAGGATAATCTTATTCTTAAGATCCATGCCACAAAAGCAACAAAACAAATGGTGCAGTCCATTGTTCTTACAGTCAATGAAGAGAAAGAAAAGCATCAAAAGAAGAAGAAGAAGGTTGCCGACACTAACGACAAAAGGGAGTCTGGCAAGCAAAAAGAAAAATGAGTGGAGGACCCTACCATTTTGGAGAACAACTCAAACAAGTCGGAGGACCCTACCATTTTGGAGAACAACTCAAACAAGACATCTGCCTCAGAAGAAGACTTGCCAGCCATTGCCATGTGATCCTTGATAATTGAAGGCCCTACCACTATGTAATGTAATAATGTAGCAAGTCATGCCATAAGTGTAGTCCCTACCACTAAGAAATAATGTAGCAGACAAACTCATGTGGAGAGTTTCTGCTTTTTCTTTTCCTTTTTTCATAATGCGTTTGGTGAGACGGCAACTTGTGCCGAACCCCAATAATTCACGCATTTTAGTTTCTATATAAGGGAGTGTCATTTGAGCATGTAAGGCATCGATCCCTCATCAGATTTCTAAGTTTCATTCTCTGTAAACATTTTATATTCAATAAAAGGTTGTTCTTTTCAAAGAGGTCCCGAGATTTATAAAATAGCATTAAGCATCAAACACTTAGAAGCGATTAAGCTTCAAAGGAGGATCAAACAAAAAGCTTAGGCTAAAATTCTCTGGAGATTCCTGGAGACACAATCGCTCGTCGGAGTAAGACCCACATAGAAGGGCTGTAAGGCGACTTGGAGCACAGTGTTTGGAATTTGAGAGTAAAAGCAGGAAGCCATGGTGGACCAATCATCTCAAGCATACTAAAAGAACTCAAATCCCAGAAGAAAGGTATGAACTCATAACTTTTTAATAATGTTTTCAATAATATTGAAAATTGCATGCAATTACCTATAAGGTTAGATAAATATGAAGAATTAAGAAAATTAGAAAATAATTTTTTAAAGATCATTAAGTTAGAAATTTTAGAGAGACTGAAAATTCTAGAAAATGGTGTTCAAAGACAGACTATTAGAAATAATAGACGAAGAACAAAGGATAACTATTACAATGATATTCATTCATCACTTGTAACTAGAGAAAAAGAGTTAGCTAAAGTTATATCAAACTTAGAAAAACTATGTATATAAATAATATACAATGCCTGCTATTTCGTGGGAATATATTTTAGAATCAACTATTCAAAAGTTGAAAATTAAGTATCGAACTTTGATTCGAACTTGCGATAAAAATCTGATTGCTTCGGATATTGAAAGAATGGCTTATAGCCTTCGACTCGTCCAAAACGAAAATCCATTACAACCCCAGAATTTGAGGTTTGTCAAAAATGGATTTATCTTGGCAGAGTCTCATCTTTCTCATGAGTATTCCTCATAAATCATAGTTTCGAATAAAATAAAAAGAGAGAACAATTTCTTTTAAAGATTGTTTTAACTTTTAAATATGAAAGAAGAGTTTGACATTATTAACGAAAGATTAAATGCTAGTTCCATAAGTTTAGATACTTATGGTAATATAAGAAAAAATGAAATAGATTTATTTGAAAAAGCTAGAGAAGATCTTTTACAAAATCTAGAAAACCTTATATATGGAATTACACTCAAGAAAAATTATTATAAAAGGTATTCTACAAGAGATAATTACTATGGAGATTGTTTTCCAGAAATAGAAGGATAAGTTAATTATCTGAAAAGTATAAAGAAAAAATTGAAAAAACTAAGATTTAATATCTAGGAATAAGTGAAAATAAGTGAAAATGATGAGTGAAAACGAAAGTGAAAATAAGTGCAAATGGTATCAGAGCCTGGTATCAAGCGAAAGTACTAAAATATTAGATTAATGGATAGAGAAGATAATCTTTTAGATTACTACACAAAGCACGAAAAATCAGGCTATTTAATTGAAGCCCTGATAGATGCTAATAAATTAGGAATAGCAGATCATGACTTAAAAAAGAACCATAACTTCATAAATGAAGGATTGATAAAGAAATTAAATAACTTAATTTCTAGGAAAAATGAAATATTCTTTGGAATCATTTCTGGAGAAGAAGCAATAGATACAGATCAAACAGAAGGAAATGTAGTTATTCCTGTTATCTGTAAAGAACAAATTCTTTCTGCATTGAAAGATATAAAAACAGAAACTAGGAATAAAATCTCTTACTTACATTTTTCTACTATACAAATGATTCTTAAATCAACTTATAGTTTAGGAATAGATTCTCCCATTACAATAAAATTAATTGATAATAGAATGATTAATTATTCTGATGCTCTAATAGCAGAAGGGAGTGGAAATTTAAAATTTGGTAAAATTAAGTTTAACTTAAACTACCAAGTTGGGATGTCCTTATTAGACAATAATTTAGATGATTCCATCACTTTGTGTTGGAACATGAAAAGAAAAATAATGAAAACTGAAAATCATCCATTTTCAGTAACATGGAGGATAAACTATGCATTGACTAACAGTCATCACAGTTTGTCATTCAAACCTCATGATAAAATTGAAATAGATGAATTGTTTTCACC